GGGAGCTTGACAACACTAATATGGATCTGGTGTTAACTGCATTGGTCACACGAGTCCGAACAGTGCCCTTCTGTCGCGGCCACTCCCTGCAAGCACGCGCGGCACAGTTGGGCTCCGCCAGCCGCAGTGACAGACAGGCCAGCAGGCGCCTTCTGCACCCCATCCACAGCCTGGTGCCTGTCCGTGCAGACAGCCAGGCTCTGAAGGCCCGGGAGGAAACTCAGAGGGGCCTTGTGTGCAGGGGGATGGCTGGAAGTGCAGCCCCACCTGTCATAGCCCCAGGCCGCCTGGGTTCCAGACAGGGCCAGGTGCTCAATTCCCCACCAAGGAGAAGAGCTGTAATCAGGAGAGGAGGAGGGGGATGAGGGGACACTCCATGGGCAGTTATTCAAGGAAGCAGTCAGTGCAGAGAAGTCTTCAGTACCCTTAACACTGTCCTGGAGCTGCTCAATGAAAAATGTCCCTTTGCTCAGTCTGAAACATTTTGACTCAGAAACTCGCCTTGTTTATAAAGTTCAGCAGCTTCAGTTGTATATACAGGTCTATGAGAGGCGGCTACACACTGCCAAAAGCTAGGGTCACCTCACAAAGGCTTCAAAGAACAGACTTCTTCGTGTATTACTTCCCCAGAATACATGTTTCCAGTCTGCCTTCCTAGGAAGGGTGTTGTGATCTCAGCACTAAAATTTAAAGCTGAATTCATGGAATCACAGTTCTCAGACATTTTAATCCAATGCTCTCCCACAGAAATCGTTATATTGTCATTGAGTGCTTTCATATTTAATAGTAATTCTATCTTCTCCTAAACGTGTATAAAATTGGTGCAAAACATTTCCCACATTAGAAAAAGAGTTATAGGCTCTTATTTACATGTTAAAAAAATCAGAACTCAAGTAATGATCAAGAAAAATGAACACTGTTACTCTCTATGGAGAATTTATCTCTATGGAATTCAGTTAATTGTTTTCAAATACATATTTTTTCTTTTTTGAAATGAAGTGATTTTGATAACACAGTTAAATAAAAACTGAGTTAAGCTGCAGCTGTAATCGGCCACCATGAAGCACTGTTTAACAGTTTACATGTAACTTTGTAAGTGAAATTTTTAATTATTAGTTAGGAGCCTCACCAGTCTTATTTCAGTTACTCCGTGTGTCATAAAATACAGAAGAGCTAACTTTCCCCTCTGATGAAGTGTGGGAAAGATGGGGTTCCCTTCCCCACTAGCAACGGGGCATCACCTGCACTTCACAGGAGGAGCAGGACAATGCTCTTGCGAGACCTTTCAGCAAATGGCACTAACATACATCACCCTCAGCTCACAAAAAGGTAAGAAGAAAGCAACACTATTTCTAGAAAGCTCAGCCGGAAAGCACATAAACACAGACATATTTTTCACTGATGATCAGTTTCGTATGTGGATGGATGCATCAATAACTGAATTATTTAATGCAAATTCCATTTAAAATATCTCAGCTGAGTTGGGGGACATAATTTGCATACCTGTTCTTTTGCAAAGGATGGTTTTTCAAACACATATCAAACACAGCTCTTGGTTGCTGTCAGAGCACGGACGTGAACCGAGGTCTCTCAGGTTACACCTGCCCAGTTCCTAGTTATTAGGATGGGTTATGCTTTAAAGTCTTAGGTGTGGAGAGAAACAGAGATATTGACCTTTCCCAGCTTCTCATGCTACCTGAGACCTCCGGTCTGGAGAGGCTGCAGAGATCATCACCTGGCCACCACAGTGCAGCACCGGCTCTGGCCCTGCCTGCCTGTGCGAGAGAGGGTGCTGGAAGGTGCCACTGGGACCAAGAGCTACACACGGGCTCTGACAGCAACTAAGGAGGAATGGCTGCACCACCCTAAACCACAGTACTCACCAGTTGGTTCTTGGCAAAAGAAAAAGAACTCACTGGACTCATCTTGTTTGCCCCAGTCTGATACAAAAGAACGCAAGCTGCACGTTTAACTTTAAATCCCTAGTAGACATAAAATGAACAGTGTGAAACTGATTTGCACGGTTTTTTTAACTTAAGCCTAGCCCTCATGCGCGCATGCAGTTAGCATCAGTGCTGCCCAGGGTTTCAAGGGCTCTGGGTGCACCTGCTTGGTGGCCACAGAGCGGATGGTGAAACTTTGAACAGGAGCAGGCCCTGCTGCTGCATCCCCCCAGTCTGGTAAATAGAGGCACCCCAGGACACGATGGCGGCCTACACCATGACAGTTACAATAATCCTGCTTATTTGCATACTCATTTAAAAATCGATCAACCAACCAACAGACAAAATAGGGCTTTTCCCTTAAAATATAATACACCTACAAAGACTTTGCCACATCATGATAATTTCAGCAAAGCAATTTACTCTGTACTTTACACAAAATTCCTCCCACTACAATTCACACAGGTCCTGTCTGATTTCTATTCTCAGCTGAATCTAAGAAAAGCCGTTTCCCATCACTAATATGATACTGTATTCCTTCCAATCCTGTAAGACTCCAACCTTTCTCTCCTGCCCCAAAGATTTTTCCTCATCTAGCTGCACAGATTCAATTCCTTTGGCATTTCAAACTACACATGGTTTTAAATGCTTTCCATTGTGTTTGCTGTTCTCTACACGTACTCTTCAAGTGCAAGAAGAAAAACTGAACAGAGCACTGAGGAAATGTTCAAATATTCGCATCACAAAGAGCTCACACACAGGCCTGACATGCTCTTCTGCTGAAACTGTTCGCACAGAATCTGTTGCTGTGACCCACTGATATGCACCACCCAAACCCTGAAACACAAAGCCACCTTGGCAGCTCTCCTGCCTGGAGGCTTTTCCTACCTGTGACACCAGAGTGTGACTCAAACCCTTGTCTTCAAAGCTGTTATCTTGTTTCTTAAGTAAGCTCATGGAGCACTGTACTGTATTCATGGCAAGAATAAAGAATTTACAAGCACCTTTGAAATTTCCTGCTTATCAAGTTCTCACATTAAAGGAGATTAAGATCAAGCCATCTCAGCAGCCTAAGGCTCAGGTGAAATGTTAGAAGACACAAGGAGCTCAGCACTAGAGCAGAAGGGACTGAGAATCACAGACATGAATGCTGCAGTGGGCCCTGAGCTCCAGTCCGCGGGGAGGCCCAGGAGTGTGGACAGCTGCCGGCTGCTCCTGTCGGGTTCACTCCTCACGGGCACGGATGGAGGTGGGGCAGCGGTCACCCAAGGCAAAGGGCAGCAGCTAGAAAATAAAGCTGAACTCCACCTAGGAGGAGATGAAGACCTCAGCATTTTATTGCTTCCTGAAGTCAAGAAAGAAACAAAATTACATAAAGAAAATGAAATCTATCTGTACTATTAGCACTGCCTGAAGGGTAGCTCTGAGGTTCTCCGAGAAGCCGGAAGGAAGAGCAATCAGTTTACCTTCCAGAAACTCAGCCCCAAATGTGGCACTTGACGAATGAGCTGGGCTCCTGCAGACGGGGACCTCTCCAGTGAGGGTCAGTGACGGTGGCTCTCCCATCCTCCCACCGCTCCACCTGCGACTTGAAACGTGTGACTCGACCTCCCCCGTGGTCACAGCATCTACACCAGGGCCCTCTTAAGATGAGAAATAGCTCTTTAAACATGAGATAGTGACAAACAGGTTTCAGCCCTCTAAATACAACTGCCTAAAGGAGAAAAGAAAAATCTGTCACCTCGTCATGGGCAGTAGCATCTGAGGGAGGACAAAAAGCAGTGGGCAGGGACTCCTTGTGGGCAGTGGGATGGGAAATCTGGTCTCACAGGCTCTGCACCTGGCCCGCCTTGCCCCACAGCGAGGGTGCTGGCCGCCCAGCCTCGGGCACTTGGCGTGACGCTGGCCAGAGCCCTGCTGCAGGGAGGAGGGGCCCCGCCGGAGCTCGTAGTGTGCACACTGTGCTGCTCAGTTCTCAGGAGGCCAGCCAACCCTGGACTTGACAAAGCCTAAATGGAGTCGCACCTAGAATTCTAAGGCTCACAGGCCAGCCAGGCCCCTGCTCCCCGGTGCCAGCTGGGTTTTCTGGCACCTGGCCTCTGACTTCAGATGCACCTGAGAGTTAAATACGGCCTGCAGGAAGAGGCCTAGGAGCAGTGTTTGAGACTCCACAATCCTAAGAAGTGAAGAAAGTGGCAACAACATAGTTAAAATCAGCTAACCCTTGACTTACAAACCCTGATTCCAATGCATCCTCTAAAACTTCAGTGCAAAAGTAGGCTCTTAGCTGAGTTTTTCATAAAGTAAATTATCAAATAGTGGAGTTGTAAAAATAAAATTATCAGCAATAATAAAGACACCACAAGGAACATGATGTGGGCAAAATGTTCACAGATTAGACAATACTGTGAAGATATGTGCGCGGAAGCTGGGCACAGTGGTGCACTCAGGAGGCTGAGGCAGGAGGATCACTGCGATTTTGAGACCAGCCTGAGTTACAATGTGAGCTCAAGGCCAGCCTAAACTGTACAGCAAGATCCTGTGCTCAAAAAAGACAAAAAAAGAAAAGAGAAAAGATAGGTTTATGGACAAACCATGTTGGCTATGTGTCTATAAATGCCAAGGTTACAACATGCTAAAGGTCATTGAAGATGTAACAATAAAGATGGAAGAGAATCTCTTAAAGAAAGCAGATTAAGTTACTACCTCAGGTTTTAAAGTGGAAAAGATAAAGCTGGTCCCTGTTTCTGCCAAGCTGCTAGACTTGGATGGACAGGGTGAGTACCAACTCCAGCTGAATTTCTTACCAAGGCAGAGGATCAAAAGAATTATCTGTGCAATAATCTACTTTTTCTGATACTTTTGGTTCATGAGCAATACACATTTTAAGAGCAGGTCAAACTCGCTCAAATGAGAACTAAAAATGGATCCAAACTACAGAGTCTAATTTCTCCTTCCCTTTGAAAAGCACCCGGAATTTGAGCTCATACGATAACGACTCATGTTCCGATGAACTGCGCCCTAACTGGGGTGATGCCCAGCTGTTGCCCCTCTTACCCGCTGCAGCCCAAGGCTGACACCTTGCTGTCTCCATGCCTCGGGCCTCAGGAGCTGTGCGCCGTGGCCGCAGCCGAGGATGGCCCGCGCTCGGTCTCCTGTCTCGTGTCTTTCCAGAGTGCCTGGGGACAAGACCAGAAGGGAGAGGTAGCAGGCCCTGAGCTGAGAACACACAGACCACAAGGCAGGTTCCCCCAGGCTGCAGTGACCCACACGGGGAGTCACCTCCTACCCCCCACCGAAACCAGCGGGGCGCCAATATCTCCCCCTTCCCACAACACACAAGGGTCCTTGGCCGCGGGGTCCCGGTGCTGCCCCATAGTGTCTGGCTCTCGAGTGCAGGAGTCCCCAGGCCTGAGCCCAGTGACCCTTGATGGCCAGGGTCAGGCAGGCACAGGGGCCTCCAGCGGTCCCTGCAGCTTCTGGAGTGCATTGGGTGTGCCTCGGCACCCTACGCCTCCAGGAAACCCTCTCCGTGCCATTCTTTCAGTTCTGGAGGGAGGGCTGGCAAATCCAAATGCGAGTCAAGGCAGCAGGTTACCAGCAAGGACTCAGTCGGAGTTCAGCATTTTTATAAATACGGTATTCTAGGAACTCTCTGTCTCCTATCAGTTATGCACTCATGGCCAGCACTGATACCACGTTAAATATGAACCTATGTCCAAGGACATAAAAATGCTCAGTGGCAGTATCTTGATAAATAATACCCAAAACACACATTGCAATTATATTATGCCTTTCCTACCAAGGAGGAAAACTGTACTATTTGTTAGGAAAAAATATAATTAACTCTTATTGATAACAAGGAGACATCAGAGAGATTATAGGAAGAAAATGGTAATAAACATTTATTAAGACCACTGCACCTTTCAAATATGTGGACAGATGGGTGGATGGACAGACAGACTTGAGAATTTTGATTATTCAACCCTTTCTCTTTTCTCCTCTCTTCCTCGGCCATTTTTATAGCAACTAAGCAGCCACTGCCTGATGCTTTGGGTTTGGAACCACTGGCAGCAGGGAGAATTTCACTCCCAAGCCACAGAACAGCATTTTCCACTGTACTAGCTTTACCTTCTACTCCCCTGAGCATCTTTCACTTAGAAGACCTTTTCCCAAGCTCTTGTTTTCCATCAAGACTGATGAGATTTCCACCAAACAAAGCAGGCAGTAACACCAAGACCTTCTCTCTCAAGGACAGCAATCAGGACATTGTTTTCAAGCCTGAGATTATAGTTTGTACTGCTTCCAGAAAATGATGAATTCTGGACCTTCTGGTATTTCCCAGGTGACAGGAAACCTTCCTCCAGGTTTCCTCTGGTTCCACAAACTAAGATATTTGAAAATATTTGGAGAATTTTCTTGAATGGGTCTTCCCTGTGCTGCCCAGGCTGGTATTGAGCTCCAGGTCTCAGGGGGTTCCCTGCTGGAAAAGGTAGGGTTTCAGGCACCATCAGCATGCCCAGAATTCTCCAGAAATTGCATATTGAACTAGAATGCAGGTGATAAGTGCTTTCTTATGCTGTATATATTTTGTTTCTTCTGTTTTGTGCCACACTGTCTGTCTGTGCAAACAGGATTATTTCCTGCATTTTCAGGGATGACCAGAGTCCACCTATGCACGTCAGCAGCTATAACCCTCTCTTAACCACGTGCAGGGCTGCTTGCAGTGACACAGTGTGGATGGAAATGACGCAGCCGAGGCTCCTGAGTTCCTCATACTCTCAGGGTGTCACGGGGGAAGACACATCTGGAAACCCTTCTGCCAGGACATTTAGAGCAACACTGGCAGTGCTCCCACCCCTTATTTTTGCTTCAAAGAACTAGTTGAGGCTCACATGTGCCACTGGAAGTGGTCAGAGTTGATTTCTTTAAAAGTTAGCACAGAAAGTAAGTGAGCTACACATCTGAAACAACAATTTGATTTTCTACAAGGGCTTTCAGACGCCCTTGGTCTGCACTCTGTGGGGATGGACAGGGAATCCATGGGTGCTGCCTATCAGTTTACTGTCTCCTTCCTTACCGAGCTGTGCAAAATGGACGTGGACTCCATATTTTTGCTTTAGCTGCTAGTGCACTGAGAACCTCTGTGGACAGGGGGTGCTGGAAGACAAGGGAGGAAGGGTTCCCTTTCTGGGGGTCCCCAAACTGAGGGCTTGGACCCTTCTCCAGGCTCCTGCAGAGCACAGCCCTGCAGCCAGAGGGATGGAGGGCAGACATAGCAGCCAGCAGGGGGCGTCACCACCCAGGAGGAGCTGGCAAGGCTGGGGCAGCAGGGGTGCCACTTCCTGACTGAGAGACATCATGGAAGCTCCTTGCAAAATCACTTGATCCAACCTCCAGCTGCAGGAGAACAACCGCTTTCCATAGGAGCTCAGTGATGACACGAGTAGCTTTCTACTGTAGTTGATCAAGAATGGGAGCTAAGGACAGTACTTTCCATGTGAATCAGTGAACCAAAACCAGGCAGGAGACTGAGACCAATGCCAGTGAGATGTCTTTGAGAGTTCCCTAGCTCCTAGTTGAAGTGTAAAGAGTACCATGACATTTCTCTCCTTCATCCTCTAAACCCTTCCCCAAAATTTGCATTTCCACTTACTTTATTAATATGAGTTTCGATATGATTTATTTTACTCCTAAATGATTCCTGGAAGCTATGGCACTCAAAACACTTCAGCTTTTGTGGCAGGTTTTAGATTTTTGCATTAGGGATGCTCAGCTGCTGAAGTCCATGCAAGTATCCCAAAAGCAAAAAAACAAAACCAAAGACTTCTGAAGCCCTCTGCCAAGCACCCCAGGTTGGGAGATGGCCCAGCTCAGCGTTAGAGAAGGGTGAGGAGGACACTGAGCAGCCCGGACTGGGGAAGAGGTTCCCCTGCCTTCCGGCTGCAGTCAGCTCAGCACCTCTCAGCCCTGTGGGCATCTTTCTTTCTTCCCTGACAGGCCTGTGTGCTGGTGCCCTGCTTGCCCATGAGGACAGCACCCCAATCTCAGTGACTGTGTGGCCTTCAGCAAGGCAGTGTGTGTTTTCTTCCTCAGTTTCCTTGCCCGTGTAAAGGGCACAGGCATCATTATTCCTGTGACCCAGGCTCTCAGGAGGTTCAGACCAAGGGCTACAGATGGCGCCTAGAGGAGTACTGCAAGCCAGCACAGGATGCCATTTAGCCACCCACCTGCAGGTCCCCACCCCATTTGCAGCCCCTCCCCAGCCTGACACAGAGTCAACCCATTTTAGCCCTGGCACACAGCCGGGTGCAGGCACCGAAGGGCTGAGTCTGCTCAGCCAGGATGCTGTGGCCCAGCTGGTGATCTCTTTTATTCCCTTTCCGTTTCACCTCGAACTCGAAGCACTGACCTGCAGGCCATTTTCTCACCACCATTCCCCCTGCTCACCCAATTAGGTTTCCCTTTCTTCCCTTGGGAACAAACACTTCTCGCTTCCCAGTCTCTCTGGTGTCAGCGCCACACCTGCTCTCCTCAGAGCCCTCCCTGGCAAGGCTGCCCGTGCTGGTGCTGTTTGATACTGTGGGTTGGAGGCGGACACAAAGGGAAGGAATTCGAGATGGACACAAAGGGAAGGAATTTGAACACATTAAATCAGACAAAAAGGCAATGGCTGCTTCAGCTGGCCAGGGATTGTGGAAGATAGCTGCTCCATGCAGATACTTAGATAAAGCTGCTGATAGGATAACAGACTCATATTGGCTCCATATCAACCCACGGATACCTTCAGGGCACAGAATATATTTTAAAAAGCCCCTGACCAGAGTGACCTTCACCTTGGCCTGCACAGCCCAGAGCACTTCACAGTGAGGCTGGCATTTATCAGCCTGGTCAGCTTCAACCTTTGCATAGAATCTTGACCTTTGACCCCCGGGACACAGGATGGGGGAGGGGCAGTAAAAGAAGCAAAAGGCATCAAGATGCTGACACACACAAGGGTGACCGGTGATGCATTAACCTTAGAGGAAATTTAACCCAAGGTTTCCTTGAGCACAGGCTTGCGAAATATCCGCTCTTCCAAAACATAGTGTCTACTGTAACTAAATTTTAAATTTCAACTTCATGCGGACAGGAAGGATGGTGACAGGAGAGCATGGTCTGTGCAGTGATGTAAGGAGGGCCCACGGGGCTGCACACATTCTCCATCGCGGGAGAGCAGAGCGCGGATGGCGTCCTGCACTGAGCACTGCAAAACATTGTTCATGCTGTGCCTTTCGGATCTGCACACCAGCTGTGCTCTCCCTGTTCAGTCTCCAAATGCTTCACAAGCAGGTTTGACCCCTCCTGCTTTGCACTGAGGGTTACACGGTCCCCTGGGCATCCTGCCTTCCCTCCCAGCACCATTCCCTCTGTGTCCCAGGGGCAGTGTTTCCAGGAAGGAGCTGCGAGACGAAAAGCAAACCCCAAGCCAGGGGTCCTGCGCACAGTGCCACTGAGAGCAGACGGCACCTGCAGCCTTGCTTGGTCTTTGTATTTTTTCTTAGCTTTTGTTCTTATGTGCTTGGAGTGAGAGGTGAAGGCGGCTCGGAGGAGAGCAGCACGGTGCTATCGGTTTTCCCTGGGCCGGCAATGCTGTGCACAGGCAGAGGGTGCAGCCTGGCACCCACATGGCATCCACCTGTGAGCTCAGCGCCACACAGCATCCACCTGTGAGCTTTACCCCAACACCAAGCTTCGCCGCCAATGGAGCCCTCCAGGTCTGTGACCAAGGTGACAGGGGGACTCTCAGAAGCACTCCAGGGACCCCGGTCTGTATTTGATCCCTGACCCAGATCAGAAGGGGCCAATGCTCCAGTGACTGCCATGGAACCTGGCAAATGGACTTGTGGAGGTGGCAAAGGCTTTCCATCTGCTGGCCTTCACTGGCTGGAAGGTAGATATCACCAGGGGCCCTTTGAAGGCAGAATTCTATGCAGCTGCTGGAAGAGTAAGTCAGGGAGGCCTAAAACAGAGAAGCTGAGGGGCCACGACTGCGGGACCTCAGACTCATACAGCGCACGACCTCACGCTGTGATCTGACAGCTTGGAAGCCAGTCCTCCCGAGAGCACGGTCCGCCTGCACCTGGCCTGCTAAGCAGGAGCCTGGCTGAGTCCTGGGTGCTGGCTCACAGGTCAGGGA